GGGCCAACTCTCACCTTGGACGGGGTTGTAGCACTGCAGGGTGAGCGCGTTGTACTTGACGGCGCAGGAGCCCACCAGGTAGAGCTTGCCCAGGCAGCTGGTGGCCGCAAAATTGCTCACGTACTTGAGGGCCGGGCTAATGGCGCACCAGCTCTTGTTGTACGGGTCGTAGCGCTCAACCTCCACCGCATCCACCGTTGTCCCTGTAGGGCGGTGGGACGCTGCAGCCACCTCGCTGCTCTGGGGTACCCGCATACCCGTGCCCCAGCAGCCCCTGCGGGGTCTCTGCAGCCTTACCCCCAATGACGTAGATTTCACCATTGAGGACGGTGCTGGTGTGGTTTGTCCGGGCTCTCAGCATGGATGCAATGGGCTTCCAGGCACCATCCCTGAGGCAGAAGCGCCAGGCCTGGGTCGTTGACCACGTGTCATTTTGGGACCCTCGGGAGCCACCTGAGGAGGGATGGGTCAGGCGGGCCTCCCCCTCTGAGTGCAGCCATCTCGGGTCATCCCTCTAGCCGGATCCGCCCAAGAGGGGAGGCTTTGCTTGTAGAGTAGAGTAGCCCCTGGCCCCGTGCCAGTGCCCCACGTCCACATCTTTGTCCACCATCCTCCATCCCCGCCCCTTGGGGACCACCACCCTGCACCAGCAGCCGCAGCACCTACCTGTGACATACACATCGTTGTTCAGAGCCACCAGGGAAAAGCCCCATTTGTTGTAATCAGGGAAGTCAGGCAGAGCCATCCATCGCCCTGAAACCCAGCAAAGCCAAGCGATGACCCCCTCAGCCAACGATGATGCTTTTAAGCCACTCCTATTTCACTCTTCACCCCCCATCACCCCCAGTGCCCCACCTGACACCAGACCGTTTGGCAAGGGGTGGCTTTGGGGTAGACGGAGTGTTAAGGGTGGGGGGGTCCCATCCCTGCCATGGGCACTTACTGCTTCTGGGGTTGTAGAAGGCGAAGTTCCTGGGGGCAGCTGTTGTCTCCAGCCCCCTCTCTTCATCCTCGCTCTCCTCCAGCACACGGCCACCGACCACCACCAGCACCTCCTCCAGCTTCTGTGGTGATGTTGCAGGGTTCTTCCGGGCACCAGCATCACTCTGCCCCTAATGGAGAGGCCAGGGCAAGACCATCAGGCTCTGAGCTGAGCCTAGAAGGCGAAGTTCCTGGGGGCAGCTGTTGTCTCCAGCCCCCTCTCTTCATCCTCGCTCTCCTCCAGCACACGGCCACCGACCACCACCAGCACCTCCTCCAGCTTCTGTGGTGATGTTGCAGGGTTCTTCCGGGCACCAGCATCACTCTGCCCCTAATGGAGAGGCCAGGGCAAGACCATCAGGCTCTGAGCTGAGCCTTCCCCCTGGCTCAAGGGGGTGGGATTTGGGGCAGAGGGTACTACCCACCATGGCACGGGATGGTCGATGTCCAGCCTCTCCTTGGAGAGCTGGAGGAACTCCTCCTGCTGAGAGACAGCTTCAAAATTCTCCTGCAAGAAAGACCATGCCTTGGAGGAGACCTCGGGGCAGCCGTGGCTCTCACCAAACTCGCAGATACCTAGGCAGTTGGTGGCATCCATCTGCTGCCGAAGGTAGCGGCTGCAGACCTTCTGGATAGTGGGGAAGTGGAGCTGGCTGGAGGTCCGCATCAGCCCCTCCACATTGCCCTGGTTGATGGTGACCTTCCCTGTGTAGGCGAAGTCGAGCAGCATCTCCAGCGCACTGGGATCCACCTCCTTCAGCTCCACCCGTGCTGCGATGCTCTCAGCGAAGTCACCGGAGAACATGGCATGGAAGTAGTGGCTGCAGAGGGCCAGGACACCACGGTGGCAGGGGAATTCCCGCCC